CCCCAAAACCCCAAAACCCCAAAACCCCAAGATTGCCACTTAATGATTTACAGTATTGAAATAAGAAGAGTTATGTTCAAATAAATTTATTTACTACTTGCTATTTACGATTGACAGCGGCAAGTCTATTCTAGACATTGCTGCCTAAGTACATGCCAGTGCTCATTGAAGGAAGTGATCCATGTCCCTAGTTGAAGGGCTCTGAATACATGTCCTCCCCAAAAATTGGCTAATCTTCAACGAAATTAAGAACATCATTGTCGATCTCTTATTGAATAGCATTGACAAGTTAGTTTTTCTTAATTTTATGCAGTTTTGTAGGGTTCGCCATTATCTTTTTGATGAGCTGGCATCTTTCAATAATCTTAGAGCGCAAATCATTGAAATATAAGTCAGCTTCATCTAACTCTTAGCTCATTTCGTTTATCTTGTAATTAAGTCTAAACAGCTCTGAATTTTCCTTGATTAGCTTATTACAAGCTTTTGAGGCTTTCTTGACTAAGATCTTATTCATGTCGTCGCACTAGTTTTCGTCAATTTATTCATATTCATCATTGATTTGAAACTCTGCTTCAAGATCATTTTTGGGTGAGTTATTGGTGAAAATTTGATAGTTCTAGTAGGCATTATTCTCACTGTTGAAAGTGTTTTGCTGCTTATAAGTCTTTATCAGATTCTCTACCTGCTGTGAAACTTTATTTGCTCTCTAATGTGGAATTGGAATTAATCTAAGAGGTTGATCATCGTCTGGTTCAGTTGATAATTTATTTCCTATCAAATCAATTGGCCTATCAATTGTATTTCTGTGACTATCCATATCTCTCCCGTTTTAAGCTTTACTGTTTTCTGAATAAAAAAGTGCATCTACCATCTTATTTAGCTATAAGCCAGATTTCTAGCCATCGCTTGCTTTAGTTTCTTCCAGGTTAAGATTTTGCATAGTATCTATTGGTGATAGATTTAATTGGTCCTAATATATTCCTTCTTCATCAATATCGAAATAGGCCTCTCGTCCATGAAACTCATCTAAATAATCTGAAGAGCAGTCTAAATCCTCAGATATTGGGGCATCAATTTATGGATTATAAAACCGATGACTATAGACCATAATTATACAAAAAAACTAAATACTTTGGCAGATCCTTAACAGTGAACTGAGACAGTAAATATTGTTCTCTTTCCTCTTGCTTCGTTAATTTCTTTCCCTTTCCTTCCTTTTATTCCTAAAATCTCTTTTTGACTTTAGATAATTTATCCCCTTCTAAAAATAAGCTTGATTCATCTGAGGGATTATCTATCACTCCAACATCAATCGTCTCGTATTCATAGTTAGGATTGAACTAGGTGTCTATCTCAAGGAATCTTTGTATAATTGGATTCTCTATTGCTTCGTATATCAAGATGACTAACTTAATAAACCTATTCAACGCTCTCATTCTGTCTCTCAAAAATTAAGGATCTTTGTTGAAGAATAGTTTTTTCGGCGGCAAATCAGGTAGATTTTCAGCAGCTTTAAACTCTAAGTCTGCTTTTAACTAAGAATCATTATTGATAAAGAAATAAATATGAATTGAGGCTTACTCTAGCATGCATTTTATCGAAATCTGAAAATCTCTTCTTAAGAATCCAAATTTAAGCCAATAGTCTGACTTCTATTAGGTAATACTAACATGTAAATGGCATTAGGAGAATATATGCTTACGATAACATTATTGTCCTCAACATACTCCTTGACCTAAACTTCTAAATCTGCGAGATCAAACTCTACATTTCTCCTGTTTTGAACTATAATGTTCATTATTATTTATGTAATTATTTTAATAATTAAAAGCATTTTAATTCTTCCATTTCTATAATTAATTCTATTAATTCACTCATTCTTTAAGTTGATCATCATTAGTTCAATGATTATGATTAATTACTTTCCAGTCTTCTAATCTTATTCTCTAGATATCTAATGTAATGTACATAATTCTAGATAAAGCCTTTCATTCTATCCTTCAAATTACTCATTTCCTAAATGCTTTAATTCTGTTAAGCCTCTCTTTTATTTTCAGACTTCTGCTGCTGATCTCTTATTCTCTCTTGATCGAAATCATGGCTCTCAAATGCATCCTCATTTATGATCTTTGAATCTTATTCCTCTTGATTTAAGTCCCACTCATCTTTGCTTCGTTTGTATCTCAAGTTTTCTCTTTTTTATTAAGATGAAGAGTAGTTGCTAATAGAGTCGATAGATTATTGAGAAATCACTCTTTTTAGTTTGAGTGGTGGCGACTGATCATCTAGCCCTATGCTAAACTCTTCATGCTAATTGAACTATGACAATAAGAGTGGCTATGATTAAACATGCATTTAATGACCACTTAGTAGCCTATGATTTGATGTTACGCCACTGTTCGATTAATTAGCAATTTTATTTCTCGTTGATTTTTAATGGTTTAGAGTCTTAATCAGATTTTCATTTAATATTGGAGAATGTTGTGAAGGTCCTAGGTTTATTGTATCTTAGTTTTCAATCCTAATATTTTTGCCTGCTCTTGACTTAATATGGCTAACGAGTTGCTAAAAGGGCTTAGCATAAGATCTACTAGCACCTCCACTTGAAAGTGCACTTCTGTCAACCTTTTTACTATTAGATGTAATTTCGCAAGCACTAGTAGCGTTTCCACTTGATTAATCTATCTGGCCTCCTATCCCACCTGCTCTAGCTGCAGAAACTTGATGTCTTAGTCTCACTTTGTCATTGGAGAGACCTTATATCTTCTTCTTCAGCTGCTGAATCTCTCTGTCCTTCCCTTAAAGTTAACTCTTGATGCTTTTCATTTGCTCTATTTCTTTTTTCAAACCTTCAATCTGCATAACTAAACTGACTTGATCAACACCTGGTGAATTAAGAGAAGCTTAAGAGTCTGATGAGTAAAGATTAATTTAAATAGGCTAAGAAATCTGCTCAATTGGTGTTTTTCTGTTTTATCCATCATTTCTTGTAGTGTTTATTTTACCTTTAGATTAATTTGGCTTCAAGTTAGATTGGATATTAATGGTCTGATTCACTTTTATACCTTTGCTTTATTTTTTGAAATTTTAAATTGCAGTTTTTTATGAATTATCTTTCTTATGAGTAGTAATTGCCTGTTATTTCTAGCAATAATTGGCACCTTGGAGCTATTTATTGTTAGCTGTTTGGGATTAAAGAGTTTGTGATATGCTAGGTTGAGAATTTAAACCTATACTTTAGTTATAGGGGGACAGTTTAGGAGAGCTAACTTAAGCTATCTGACTATAAGTTGGATTAGTATCATTGATTAAATTCTTAAGCATTTTGTTTAGCTTATGAGTTTTATTTTTTACTCCAGTGCATGCTGCTGTTGATTGCTCATTAGAAGTTGGACTAAATAGATTGTTTTACGGTTGAATAGTTGTTTAATTAAAGTTATGATTTGAATTAGGCTATCTTTGATGTTTAGTCTAATTCGAGAATTGATTCTTAATTGGTGTGGATTGCATCTGAGCATTATTATCATGGCTTTATTAGTTTCTTCGTGGTTTTTTAAAATCCTTTTCATTTGAATGATGCATTGGCTCATCTTACTGAGTCTTGACAATCTAATCCTAGGCAGCATAATCCATAGAATCCTTTAAACTACAAAATGTCCCTCCTAAGGCATCCTAATGAATAGAAGGATGTTCATTAGAATTGGCTAAGCTTTAAGAGTTAAACTATTAGAGATTTATTTTTTCATAATGAGCATCAGTATTTATTCTGTAATTTTCCATTGCAGTCTTTGGTTAAATATATAGCTTGGCAGTTTCTTTGATATCTCTCAGAATCATCCCTGTAGGCATGTTTTCATAATTGATAAGCATCTGAGATGATTCATTCATCATACTTTTCTTGGTTTTGCTTTCGTAAGGCTTCTTAGCTTGGGAGTTAATTAAGTCAATCATTTTAATTTAAGACTTATTTATTCCTATCAAATTTGACATGCTTGCCTGAGGCTAAAGGATACTTTGAGTTTATGTCAGTTATATTCCCTAACTTTGAAATTTATCATTGATCAGATTTTTATTGCTCTAAGATTTGGTGATTGAGTTCTGCACTTTAAATGTAGGTGCCTTAGTTCCAAAATATGATATCTTTTTATTCTAAGAGTTTTTGGTAGTCATTGGTTGAATATTAGTTTAGTATTACTAATTAGTGCTAATCTGGTTGCTCAAATGAGACTACATGCTTTGAGGATTAGGTGAAAAAGTTGCCTTTTATCTGTCGTTTACATGATCACTTGTGTATTACTAGATTTTAATAGAATTTTGAGGACTTGTAGTGTATGCTCTGAGCTACAAATACTGCTCGCTGATTTGCTACTGATGAAGGTTATTATTTGAATCTGTGAAATTTAAATTCAAAAATTTACCTGAAGATTAAAGAGTAAAATTCTGCATATATTAAATGTACTCATTGCCAATATGGCCAATACTGTTTCCATCTTTGTTACTATTCTTCTTATTAAGGAAGTTATTATGTTCATTCTGAATGTTCTCTGATACATTAGTAGCACATCCAGACTCTTATTAATTACTACTGCCTGGCTACTCAAATAGGCTCTTTACCTCTTAGTGCAAATTTTTAATACTGTGATATGTTGATAGAGTAGGTTTGCTTTGCTTCTTAGGATAGCTTGCAACAGTAGCATAAGCCATAGAGGTCTTTGATTTGGCATTCTATGATGGCTGAAGTTATAATTTTTGGGAACTTTTCATCATTTTAATTCTCAATTTTTAAATTACTTAAACAAAATTTGAATATATTTACAACCACTATACTTATGGGGTTTTGGGGTTTTGGGGTTTTGGGGTTTTGGGGGTTTGGGG